AGTTGACATATTTGCATAGCATGATTATAATCCTTAAATAAATTATTTAAATTAAAGTTTTGTAGCACTTTGAGTTTATCTTCACCTGTTAAAGAAGTGGATTTCTAACTTTTACTTTCTTTATCTTCCTACCAATGAAAATTTACATTGATGCATTTCATTTCTTGACTAATTGCTATTCGAATTTTCATACTTGTTTTAGCTTGTATTTTAATCATTAAAAGTAACCACAATCGGTCTGTAATTCGCAACATTATATGAAGCTCGTCTACAACCCAGTGAGTTAATGGTATCATATAAAATAATGGTGAATGCTGATGTCCTGGTATATTTGAATAATTATAGTATATATCATCAATATTCTTAGAAATATTCCAATCATAATTTAAAAGTCCATTTTGATTTTTATGAATTAAGCACCAAAGACAGAAATGATCTGAGTTTGCTGCTTTGTGTCCTAAACAAATAGCCAAAAACTTCTAATCAGCTGAGAAATATAATCAAACTTGCTATTTCCAACCTTGTTTATCAACAAGTCCATTTACAAGATCATTTAAATCTGCAATTAATGGTGCCAAAGCTATTTCTAAAATAGTATATTGTTCAATGCCAGGATATAATAAAAGAGTAAAATGATAGTTTGGATTATATAAATTTGCCAAATCATTTAATAAAGTAAAGGTAACCATGACATGTTTTACTTTATGCCCCACATTTCTTCCATCACCTGAGATTCGAATATGTAATACAGAATTTGAATGATTAATTATTCCTTTTTTTAATAATGATGGTATAATATATAAAAGAATATCTTTAATTGATCGATAGGTAGCTTTTCCTATTGAACTTGTTACTTCTTGTATAATATTTAAATCCTCAATAATTTCATTATTTGATTCATTATTTTCCTTGAAATGTTCTTGTGATAAATTTAAATTAATTAAATTAATTGGAATAAATTCTGCCATTTGATTATTAATTTGTTGTTGTATTGCAGAAATAGCTCATTCTCTTGGTAAATCATGTGCAATTGCAGCTAGTAATCTATATGTATTTCGTGATACTCTACCAATATCCATTGCTCGTACAACTGCCTGTTTTCGTAATTCACTATTTTTAAAACTACTTGACTCCTTATAATTAATACGAAATCGGTATGAATCTACTGAAAAAACTAACTCTTCTAGAGATATATTATCATTATTATTAAATGTTTCTAATGTTTGCTTTTTAAACAATTCTAATACTTGATTTCTAAATATTTTACTACATTTTATTTGCATTGAGTTACCAAGATCTTTAAATGGTTTACACTTATTTGTCATCTGTTGTTTATCTCGATTTTGGCTAATTTGCTCTACTTGTAACCCAAAGTAATATACTCCATTGAGTTTAGTTTTTTTTTGTTCAGGTCTTTGACCAGTAAATTTTTCTATATCAATAGAAACTAATTTATGATATCGTTGAATATAAATATTTGCAGCATCTGATGCACTTTTTTTTGATATAACAATTTCAGTACTATTGCCAAATAAAAATTCAATTTTAAATACTGGCATATTGTTCTCATATTGAATTGAGTATGTTATGGTTCTTTGTAATTTGCCTCTTCCATAAGTTGTTTCAACTATATAATTATGAGGAATTCTATACTGATTTGGTTTTGATGTATAGACAAGAATCTCTTTACTAGGATATATTCCTTCTTGAATAATTTTATAAGTAAATATATTACTTGATGTTTTTACTGTAATTGTAGAACTTTTCGGGTAGTTATTTGTTTTAGACATATTATTTACTATACTTTATTAAAAGAATAATTTTTAAAAAAAATTAATGATCACTAATGTTTTTTTTTATTCTTATCTGTAATATATTATACATATATATGTATATACATATATTTTTATTGCTAAGCATTTTTTTTATCTGCATTGATGACGTTTAACTGATTATAGTATGATTAATATCAAATGACATGACTTACTCTAGATCAAATAATAAAAATTTTGGGGTGATTCCACAAATCCGCTAATATGACAAATTAATCTTTGTTCTAGTTTAAATAATTCTGATTCAAATTAAGAGGTAATATATTAGTAGTAATTGAAAACTCAGTAATGACTATAGTATAAGGATCTTTGTTCCTCAATAGCTTGTCTATTATATCTATAAGCTAAGCTAAGATTTTGTTACTTAAGCTCTTTTATAAGATAATCTACTTTAAGATATCCTAGTTAATAGTATTAATGGTAATAGTTTTGAGAGTATTGTCTATGAATATGATTACTTTGGTTACAAGTTTTGCAACTTTCTCTTTTGGTTGTTTGGTCAGAGCAAAAAGCAGCAATATATCCTTTTTAGTTATATCTTCAACAAATATTTTTAGAGCAATCTTTAAAGAGATGATTTGTTTGTCTACAGACTCTACAAGATTTATAGATACAAGAGCATCTATATGATAGTTGAATTCACTATTCTTAGTTGTCATCAACTATAGAGGCTTCTATTATTTCAAAAAAATAAGATTTTTGTAGAGTTAAATATTCTTAATTATAAATCTCTAAATTCTTAAAGTCTGTAATAGTTGGTTGTTTAGGCAAGAAATAGTCTAATTTATAGGTAGTTGAGTATTTTTTGTTGTTCTATTTAAATGAGTAGCATCTATTAGTCTAATTATAGTTAGCTTTAATCTTCTTAGATAGGTTATTTTCAAGTAATAGAGAGTAGAAGGTAATAGGTATTACTTCAATGATAATAGGTATGTAAGTACTTTCAATTTCTATAAAAAGGTTTTTAATAATTCTAAGAGGTTATGTAGAGGTTCTAATAGCAGATATAATAAGGCTAGTAGAAGCATATTTTATCTTCAGTTTTAGCTCTTTTATAATACTATGAGCAATTATACTCATAGTAGTACTACTACTGATTATTGCTAGTAGAGTTAGTTTTTAATTTGTATATTATACTTAATAGGAATAATATGTTAAAGTAATAAATTTTTATCTTTAGCTTCTTTATACAAATATGCAAGAATGTATTCTTGATAGAAGTATTAGCAAAGAAAACTTTTTTTTAGTTTTGAGTTATCTGAAATTCTTGATTATCTTTTTTATCATTGTTTAAATAATTAATATTTCTAGGATAAAAGAATGAAACTTTTTGATATTTGTTCTTTTTATCAAATTCTTATGAGTGATTTCAGCTTCTGTTATTTCTATTCTAGTTTCAGTAACTTCTTTTTTAACTTTGTGATCAGTTTCTTCTTTCTCATTGATTATCAGATCTTTGATAAAAGGGTCTTAAAGCTCTTTTTTTTGAGTTATTATTTGAGTTATATCTTTAGTTGTTATTATAATTATATCCTTAATTTCTATTTCTTTTATATTAGTCATTTCTTTTAGCTTAGTATTAAGCAATAAAATATCTATTTTTATTACAGTAATAGCAAGTAGCTTAGAGTCTAGAGAGTCTAAGAAATTTGACATAGTTGGTCTCTCTAACATCAAATTGTTTCTGTACAAGATTAATATTTAGTTAGACAATTTGTTTAGTCAAGATCTTGTTAGCTTAGTTAGTTTTAGTATTCTTATTTGATACTATTACATGTCTAGTTTTTTATCTTTTAGTACTAGTTATAGCAGTAGCTAAGTTAGCAAGCTTAGTTGCTTATATATTAATAGCATATTTGAAATATCATCCTTAGATAAATAGTTGAATAATAACAGTAGCAAGGAAGGTATTTTCTTAATTTATTTTCATTTTCAATTCTCTAAATCTATTCATATATGTATTGATAGTATTGTTGCCTTGTTTAATTTTAAAGAATTGTTTTTGCCAAAAAGCTTTTTGTTTAGAAGTATAAAACCTAGTTCTAAAGAGATATTTAAAATTTTAGTTTCAATAAGCATTATCATCAAAAGTATTAGAAACAGGATTAAAAGTAGAGAATTAATCAAGAGCAACTCTTTTAAGAAAAACAGGAACAAGTTCAAGTTTTTTACTATTATTTTACCTGTTTGCAGTAGTAGCTCTTTTAAATTCTTCAAACTATTTAACAACTTTTTCTAATAATCACTAGAACTAAAAAAAAATAAACAAAAAAAAGTCTACAAGAAATATTTTTAACTATCTAGCAAGAAAAAAGTATTGAATAGTATGAAAAATAATATCTTAAACTAGACAAAGTATAGTTTTAAAACTATTACTGCTAGTTTTATAAGAGACCTACTAGAGCTTTACTACTGACTTTAGCAGGTCTTAGTTTTTTCTTAGTCTACTAGATAACTTATAGAAATATTGTAGATAAACCTACTAAACTATTTAAACTAAGTCAAATAGCAATATACTCTCTCTACTAGCTTACAATTTTTGGCTCTATTTAAATAAACTCTCTATACCAAAGTTCTGTAGTTTCTTCTTTTTTCTTTTTTTTCAAAAAAGAAATTCAGTTTCCTTCTACAAATAATGATCTTTATTTATCTTTACTATTTTTAGATCTTTACAGATTAAGCAACTATATGACAAATAGGTTTGTTTAGATCTTTGTTATACTATACATAAGTAACCATATATGTCTAGTCTCTGAAAATATAGCTAAATACAGAACAAATTATTCTAAAGATAGAGTTTAGTTAGAAATTATATTAGATATGTTTATATTGCTATAATATAATATTTTTGTTCCTAGTTTAAGCTAAAAGACAACTTTTTTCTTTTTTATCTTTGTCTATTTCTTTTTATTTTATTATTTTAATATTAGTATTTTTTTCTGTAGCAGATTTTTACTTATATAGATGATAGTTATAAATTGTAGTCACTTAAATCTGTGTAATTTTTATTTTTAATTCTTATTGTTATAGTTAGATTTCTCTTTATTGTTTCTTTAAAGTAGATTTTTAAAAAGAATAATTAGGAACTTGCTATTGCAATCAGAATAAACTATGAATTCCATAATATTGATCTTTACTATTAAAGTATTAAAATATATGAGAGAGTAAAGAGAAGGAAATAATTATTATAGCAGGTTGTTTACAGGTCTATATAGAAACTAGAGAAGCTATACTTTAGAAAACAGAAAACACTACTATATATAAAGCTTTTTTAGTCTTTTGTTAGTTTTTGTATTACAAAAATTTTAAATAAAGTTGTAATCTGACTGCTAAATTCAAAAAAAAAAATTCTTCAAACTATTCTTCTGGGTCTTGAATTCTATCTTCTTAAAAATATTTAACTTTAATGAGACTCTTCTCAAATCTTTGTTCTAAGGTATTAGCAAAGTTAATTATTACTGTAGCAGTAGTATTTAAAGCAACTTTAGCTATTGTAAGTTGTTGTTGTAGTAGAGATAAAAGGTTTATAGATAGTAGTAGATTAAGAAATAGAGAAGATATTATAAGGTCTTTAAATCTTAGTAGCATATTAACTAATATTTGGAAACTTCTTAGTTCAGAATATATTTGAATTGTAAAGAGGTTTTATTAATAAGAATAGTATTCTAATTCAAGATAATAATTATACTAATTATAATATATAGGGTCAAGAGTAGGTATATTGTAATAAGTATATCGAGCAAAGAGTTGACTTATAATTTCTTAGAAATTGTAGTTGTTATTTTAATAAGTGCAGCTAAATATTATATCTCAACAGATTGTTCTAGCAGTAGTTGAGTTATGTATTTGGCCTAGGTTATAAATAAGTTTTGGATTCTTCTACTATAGGTTAAAGCATTATATATTCATTAATACTAGTTCTAAAATCTTCTAATGAGTTAGTATTAACTTGTTTATCCTGTTGAGTAGCAGTTAGTGCAAATTGTATTAGATATAAGTACTTAAATAACTAGAACAGCTCTGTAATCTTCAGTTAAATGTTTTTCATGATATATTTGAATAGCTTTTTAGTGAAATTGTTGTATAGTATAATTCATATAACTTGGTATAAATCTTTCTCTTATTTTAAGAGATATCTTTAATCAATAATTTATTTTTTCTTTATTATCTAGAAATATTTCATCTAGTTATCTTCTTGTTATCTTTTTAGTATATTGCTTCTAGGTATTTTGTTTCTTCTTTAAAATTATTTTTTCTCTTCTTCTAAGAATATTTCATCTAGATATCTTCTTTTGTTATTCAGAAATTTTTCTTCTGTGAATAGAATTACTTATACCTATACTTTAGCTCATAGATAATTTGTTTTAGAGTTCTTACTTTTTACTTCTAACAAGTAAAGTACTCTGTTTTTTCTTGGATAAGAAGATGTTTTTTTTTTGATAAGTTTTCTTTCTATAGATAGATTCAGCTTTTCTGTTAATAGTTTTAAATTTCTACTAAATGTTACAGATAGTATAGCTTTTTTAGTATACTATAAGTAATAGCAATACAGCTATATAATTACTTTAAGAAGCAGTATCTAAGAGAAAAATTTCTTTAACTAATTGTAAAAACAAGTTTTACTCTACAAAAGGCAGTTTATTTAGAGTTATTTAATAACAATATATTTATTAATTATAAATATTTAGAGTTAAGTATAAGAGAGGAGAGAGAAGTTGAGATCTAAACAACTAAAAGGCAAGAAGAAAAATTCTACTTATATTTATAACTTTTTACAAGTATCATATAAGTGTTAGCAAAGTGTTATATAAGTAACTTATACAAGTATCACTTAAGTATTTGTACAAATAATAGTTAAATATTACTATTAATAGTTTGATATAGTAAGAGGCACAGTACTCAGCACAGTTTAGCACAGTCTAGTATAGTCTTTTGGCATAGTTTAGCATAGTATTAGT